ACTTCCAATCAGCAGCGGGAAGGCAACAGGAGCCACGGAGCCTCGAGGGGGTGGTTTCCTCCAAATCCTGGTCCTCTAGTTGAAGGCCAGCTCTCTTTATTGCCCAGAGACGTGGTTGGCACACGCAGCCTTGCCCAAGCCCCCTTCTCGGGCACAAGCAGCAGCCTGAGAGCTGTTAGCAGAGGCCTAATTCTGATGAGAAAACCTTCGGAGGCCCTGCGTGAGAGAAGGAGTGTCACTGAAGATGCTGGAAAGACAAAGAGCAATATTTCCACTGACAAAAGATGAAGATGAAACACATGTTAGAACAGAAAACATGATTCTATTTGGCGACGCTCTCCCTGGCAACCATCATCAGAGTCTTGAACCGAAATGAAAAAGGGATCGATGTAACAAGCACACTTACATTTCTAACAACGAGAGTCATCTTGAAAATAACAAAAGCTTCCAACGTAATGAAAACTCGCAACGCGGAAAGCAAAGGGCATGGCCCCAAGTAGCCTCGTGCTGCACATTTGTTCGAGAAGGTCGGAGCTGGAAGCCACTTAGGGATCCTGTGGACAAACCCTTTAATGTTACAAAGGAGGAGACGCTGAACCCAAAGGACTTTCAGTTACCTGCTCAAGGTCACAGAACTAGTTAGTGACTTCTGAATTGTTAGCAACCGCCTTTTCTGTGTCCATGGAGCCAATTTCTGAAGTTTTCTATCTACCTGCAAATCCACCTTTGCCCAGTTACTGAGGGCTGAAGTTCAAGATTGCCAGATGCTGGGCCTCCTATTTGTCTGGCTGTCTTAGATCTGCTGTGTTGTGCTACATAGACTTGTTGGAAGACGCCTCAGTCATAGACTACAACACCCCGCCCCAGCTGCAGATTCATCTGACACCATATAGACAGAGACAAAGGCTGGAAATTCCACAGAAATCCTGGGCAGAAAGGATGGGGAGCTGGGAAGACATGGTGCATCCTAGAAACTGAACCCCACAGAATTCAGTATTATAGATCAGGGGAAAGGTAGGCAACCCAAAAAGTAAAAAAAAAAAAAAAGAATTTTAGCACTGCTTAGTATGAGGGGTCCTGAGGATCAGTCAATAGGTGAGACATTCGGACAATTCACCTTTCAGAAACCTGCCAGGGTTTTGGAGTTCTGTAGCTTATCTGCCTTTCAGATAAACTGATTACACATTTTTTAAAAATATGTTAAAAAATGTTTTTTAAAGCACGGAACCTGTAGAGCTAAACAACTTCAGATCAAAGGGAAAGAAAGAAGCAGCGTGAAAAATACTCCGAGAAAGACAATCTGAGAACGGCCTTCTGCAGAACCTAATGTACCGGCATGCACGGCAGAAATCCAGATATATTATTTATGAAATGGGATCACACAATCAAGGAGAGGAGAGCCTGCCTGGCACGAGACTGAGATAATTGGCACAAGGAAGGATCGCTCCAAGGACACACCGCACACTCTCTTCCCAGGTCCCCTGCTTTCCTAGCCACTTTCATGGCCCCTCATCCATCTCAAACAATCTTCGGGGCTCCAGGCCCGGCCATGAAACTGTCCTCATGAGATAACATGAGAGAGCATGGTGCAGGCATCTCAGTGCTAACAAGTTCAAAACGGGACCCTTGGTCCCCCTCTCACCTAAAACCTCCTACTCCTGACCCCCCTCAGCTGCCCCATCGCAGGGACACACCTTCTTCCGTCCCTGCGCTCCTGCCAGCCCTTCAGTAGCGGCACTTGTCACCCCCCCCC